AAAAACTACCTTTTTTACATTCATTTTCATAATGTTCAAATATGTAGTTTAACTAACCTCTGTGCCTTCATAATACTGTAGAAACAGCTCTCAGGAACAAAGGATACTCCAGAAAACTACAGATTTTCCTCACAAAACAGAAATCATGTTGCAAACATGATCATTCCAAATCAGCCAACTACAGGTGGCGCCAAACAAGTTTCTGACCTTCAAACTAGAAAAACTTGAGAACTGTCAAAGTAATCTTTGACCAAACGCCCTCTGTAGTTCTATTATTGCAATGTCAAGCTAAATCAATAAATACTAAATAAAATGACTTTAACTGACAAATACAAATTTACAACTTTCACATGGCTCCTTTAAATTAGATACTAATTAACCAAACAGTACGAGTTGTAAAATTAACTTTCTTCATTACCGAACTATAATGTACCTTTAAGTTTCTGTTTAGCGGACTAAGTGCTATAATCATAAAGTGGATGATTTACGTCATAAACTATTATACCATTTCAAATCTAATGCATAACTTGTAAAACTTTGTCACTATACTACCATTACAATAAGCAAGCATATATGCAATTCTATTTAAATACCTAAGTACCTAGCAAGGTATAAGAACGTCGATATACATGCAATATAAATTATACAATGTCAATCAAATGATCAATTTATAGCATGGAACTCAAACTTGTCAAAAAATGATTCCCTAAATCATTGCTAACAAACAGTTTCTACCAGGAAAAACCCAGCTATTTTCATACAGAAAGAGTCCGTTATTTTAAACAACCAAAGAAATGAACAATTTTCCAGCCAATTTTGCGGCATTCCCCTGGTGCTATAAATTGAACATACTTGTTCACATAACATGTCGAAAATATAAGTTCCCTTGTGGGAACTGTGATAAGCCAGTCAAATGTAATCAACACGGCCTTCTGTGTTCTTATTGTAAAAAATGGTTTCACACTAATTGTCAAGCTATCAGTTTTTCAGAGTACCGCAGGTTATATTATGAATGCTCTGATGAGAAGTGGAATTGTTTATCATGTTGTCTGCCATCTTTTTGTGACTCAATATTTACTGACGATTGTTTAGAGAAAGAAAGCCAAAACGAGGATAGACTAAAAGAAAACTATTTTAAGGTAACGCGCGTTACACCTGAAAAGCAAGCGATAGCAAGAATAATTCAGCCAAACCTCAGAGATGAAAACACTTCTCTTTATCAAGAATTTGAAGAAAAGTTTAAAATTAAAGGTCTTCATTTTTTACACCTTAATGTGAGGTCTATTCTAAACAAGATATCGGAACTTAGAATTCTTTTCAAAAGAAAAAGACTGTCTATTATATAATTGCTTTCACTGAAACATGGTTAAACAATTCCATAAATGATGAAGAAATTGAAATAGATGGATATAAAATCATACGCCATGATCGATCCTCTGGCTCTGGAGGTGGTGTATGTTTCTATATCAGAAATGATATTGCATTTAATATTATGGATGCTATAAGTACTGGAGATACGGAATCCCTGTGTATAAATTTGATTATACCAAGATCAAAACCAATTGTTGTTGGCGTTCTGTATCGACCTCCGAAAAACAATTTGTTTATCGAGAAATTGTCCAATATTCTTGATACATTAAAGAAGGATGACGAAATAATTCTTTTAGGAGACATGAATATTTGTCTTCTTCGCAAATCGCCACTGGCTAAAAAATATATTGACTTGTTGAGTCTTCATGGGTTTAGTCAACTCATTAAAGAGGCAACACGCGTTACACCTACATGTTCTTCTCTATTGGGTCATGTTGGTTGTACCAAAGAAAATAAAATAAGTCAAAGTGGTGTCATTGATCTAGGTATTAGCGACCATTATTTTACTTTCTGTACACGGAAAAATGTTAGACTGGCTATAGGTCATCACAGGACTAATGATATCAGATCCATGAAAAAATATACAGAAGAGTCTTTCAATCTTCAACTATCTGTTGTTGATTGGTCACGAATAACTTACTGTACAGATGTAAATGAGGCATGGTCAATATTTCAACATGTTTTTATCTCAAATTTGAATATGATAGCGCCACTGAAACGGATAAGAATAAAACAAAGATCAGAAACTTGGGTGACTAAAGATATTCTTTCCCTAATTCAAGAGAGAAATATAGTATCCAAAAAATGGAGGAAAAGAGCAAAAGGTGAGAAGCTCTATAAAAGATACAGAGTATTAAGAAATATGGTCCAAAAAGAGGTGAAAAAGGCTAAACTCGATTACTTACAAAACAAGATAGAAGAAAATAAACAAGATTCGAAAAAACTTTGGCCGAATCTAAAAAGCTTAGGATTGAAAAATAAGAAGCGAAAAGAACAAGAATCTGTCATTAAAATTGATGGGGAATTATGTCATGATAAGATGGCCATCGCTGATGAATTCAATTCTCATTTCACAAATGTGGCTGCCAAATTAGTAAACAAACTCCCCCCTTCCAAAGACTTTTTCAGCGCAGACAATGATTGTATTCGTGACTTTTACGAAACAAAAGGTGTACGTGAAAACAGCTTCGAGTTATTACCAATCAGTGAACAATTTGTTTTCAAAGATTTACGTAAGTTGAATGTATCAAAAAGTACTGGGTTAGACTTGATTCCAGCTAAATTTCTAAAAGATGGTGCGAAGGTTTTATTTAAGCCTCTAAGTTACTTAATGAACCTATCTATCTTGACGAGTACTTTTCCAGAGGATATGAAAATAGCAAAAGTGACTCCACTTTATAAAAAGAAAGATAAAACTGATGTTAGCAACTATAGACCTATTAGTGTTTTAAGCGTAGCATCAAAGATTCTAGAAAAATCGGTCTGTGTTCAAATTGAAAGATACTTCAAAGAAAATGATATAATTTATGAATTTAAATCTGGTTTTCGACATGATTATTCGACTGAAACATGTCTAATTCATTTGACTGATTATTTGAGGAGAGAAACTTCCGAAGGGCGCTTTGTTGGTATGGTGCTCCTTGATCTGCAAAAAGCTTTTGATACAGTTAATCATTGCGTCTTATTGAAGAAGTTACAACTAATGGGTTTTGATAAGGCAAGTTTAGATTGGTTTAGATCCTACTTATCTAATCGGCACCAAGTAGTGGACATTCATGATATTCGTTCCAAACTAATGCCTATAACATGCGGTGTTCCTCAGGGAAGCATTTTAGGCCCAATTCTATTTTCAAGTTATATAAATGATATGTGCATTTGTATAAAAGACTTCAACTATTATTGTACGCAGATGACAGCGTACTCTATTCAAATCCTGACCCTAAATATATTGAGGAAAAGCTCAGTTAACAGCTGTCTACGTGTGTCGATTGGATGACTGATAATAAGCTTTCTTTACACTTGGGAAAAACAGAAAGCATTTTATTTTGTTCTAAAAGTAGTTCTAAAAAGTCATTTGAATTCAAAGTGACACACAATAATCAAGCAATCAAGAGAAAAGAGTCTGTGAAGTATTTAGGCATTGAGTTGGCTAGCGCAATTTCATTTTCATCTTTGTACAGATATCAAAGTTGTATGGATTTAAAAGCAAGACGTACACCCTGTTTTGCTCTTATTCAATGTTTATTTGACTATGCTAACCCTGCATGGTATAGTAACATAAACAAGTCAGATCAAAAGAAGTTGAAGATTATACAGAACAAAATGGTGAGATTTATCAACTGTTCTGGTCCAAGAACTCATGTTGGCTACAGCGAACTTTCTAAAGCTGGTTTTCTTGAAGTCGACCAAAGATCAAAACAACTCGTATTGCATCACGTGCATAAAATATCATACTAGGTCGAATCATTATATTCGATCCAACTTCGATCTTGTTACTGACGTACATGATTATAATACAAGAAATAGACGATTCAACTTTAACTTACCAGAAAGAGTAGGTAGTATTGGAAGTTCGTTTTATCACAATGCCATAAAACATTGGAATTCCCTTTCCAATGGTGTAAAAAAAAAGGAAACTATGATCATTCTAAGAGGAAATTAAAGGAATACCTAATACTTGACAGTCAGAGAAGAGAAGTGAATGACATGTTATATGATTGAAATTTTTATTCTTCTGTCGGTTCATACTTTTTCATGTATATACTTATGTTTTCGTACGTTATAGAAATTCTACAAATTCATCATTATTTTTCTCTTCTTCCTTCTCCTCTTTTTCTTCTTCTCCTTCATCTTTTTCTTCTTGTACTGAATATCATTTCTATCATCAGTTTAATGTTGTTATTATTATTATTATCTTTAATAAGTAGTTCTTTTAATTTTCTTATCTGTCTGTAAATATTACTATTTTAACTTATTAATTTTATACATGTCTGTAAGGGACCCCACTGGAAATAAGCTCTCGAGCTTTCGTGGGTTATCCTGTTCAAGCTGACTTTTTTTGATCTGTTATTATTGTATATTGTTGTATGTTGGAAGCTTGTCGACTAAAAATCAATCAATCAATCAATCATAGAGAATTCCCAAAAGAATAACTGCCTTTTGTTTCTTACTAGCGACTCCAATGTTAGACTTAACCAATAATACTCGACTAGTCTTGCTTCAGTCCTTTCCTACAAATTTGTTACTAGACTCAGTTTCAGACTTTACCAAATAAATTTGTCTTCTTCAAAAATCAAATTGTCCATCAAATTAAGAACATAAATTTAGTCTTGCTTTAAGACTCTATGAATAAATGTTCTTCTCTGTGCTAGTCTTTTACTCAGACCCTAAAATCAATATAATTAGTCTTAACAAACTCCATAAATGTCTAGATTATGACTTTCTGCCATAAACAAAGGTTCCATAAACCTCCAGTTCCTTAGAGTTCAAATGAGGTCATTTAAATGAGTTCAAAATCTCATACTTAAACTGTCAAAATGTAAATTACCATAAATGTTCTTGGCTCCTTGGCTGGGAATTACACTTGGTCTTCTTGCGGAACTAATAAAACCAATTTGTGAATTGGGCGGTCAAGGTAATGGAGAGTTTCGCTTTCCCTGTCTATTCAGTTCTGGATCACCCACTGTGATCTTCACCTTGTGGACATGGCCATCTTCAGACGCGAACACTTGAGCGATTCTTCTCAGCGGCCACAAGTTTCTAGGAATGTTATCATTCTTCGTCGGCACGATGTCGTCTACCTTCATGTTGCTCTGTGGCTTCGTCCATTTCTGCCATGACTGTAGTTGGCTCAGGAATTCTTTCCTCCATCGAGACCAGAACTTGTTGGCTAAGTGTTGTACTCTTCTCCAGCGTTTCTTGGCGTACACATCTTCTAGTGGAAAGTTACCTGGCGGCGGTAATATCACCCTTGATTTCTGAGTCAACATGTGATCTGGAGTTAGCGGTTCTAGATGAGTCGGCTCATCAAATGAACCCTCTGCTCGCTTTAATCGTCCTCCAACCCGTAGAACTCCCCTTTCCATTTTCATCTTGTCTGTCAGTGGATCATCCCAGTCAGCACCTTCTCTGCACAATTCCTTAACACTCTGTCTGCTTCTCAATGTCACTGGAGCAATCAGTCCAAGCAGGCGCGCCGGAAGCAGTTTGGGATTGGGGGGGCAAACATTCCAGGGGGCTCACCTTCCAGGGGCAGTGACGTAATGAGAAAAAAAGTTCGGAGGGGGGGGGGGGCAGACGAAAAATCTGCATCACCACCAGTCTTACACGTTACATGCAGGTCCCGCGGAACGTTTTTCAAAGTGGAGTATTATCGATCAGGTAGAGCGTAAATTGGCGTGGGGTCCAGGGCATGAGCCTCGGTAGGGGGTCAAGGGGCTGAGCCCCCGGAAGCTCAGGGGTTTTAGGTAATTAATTACGGTTAGATGAGCATCCAGGGGCCCTCTTTAAGGCCATTGACGTGTTCCAAGGGAGGGGGGGGGGGAGCCACCAGAAGCTCAGAGGTTTTAATATTTAACGACGGTCAGATGAGCATCCAGGGGCCGTCTTAGGGCCCTTGGTGGGGTCCAGGGGGCAGAGCCCCCGGTAGCTCAGGGGTTTTAGGTATTTAATTACGGTCAGATGAGCATCCATGGGCCTGCCTTAGGGCCCTTGGTGGGGTCCAGGGGGCGGAGCCCCCGGAAGCTCAGGGGTTTTAGGTATTTAATTAAGGTCAGATGAGCATCCAGGGGACCGCCTTAGGGCCCTTGGTGGGATCGGAAGCTCAGGGGTTTTAGGTATTTAATAACGGTCAGATGAGCATCCAGGGGCCCGCCTTAGGGCCCTTGGTGGGGTTCCAGGGGGCAGAGCTACCGGAAGCTCAGGGGTTTTACGTATTTAATTACGGTCAGATGAGCATCCAGGGGCCCGCCTTAGGGCCCTTGGTGGGGTCCAGGGGGCAGAGCCCCCGGAAGCTCTGTGGTTTTAGGTATTTAATTACGGTCAGATGAGCATCCAGGGGCCCGCCTTAGATCCCTTGGTAGGGTCCAGGGGGCAGAGCCCCTGGAAGCTCGGGGGGTTTGAGGTATTTAATTACGGTCAGATGAGCATCCAGGGGCCCGCCTTAGGTCTCTTGGTGGGGTCCGGGGGCGGAGCCCCCGCAAGCTCTGGGGTTTTAAGCATTTAATTACGGTCAGATGAGCATTTTTTATACCTTATTTGTGACATTGGCAGGTCATTTATTTTTTTCTCCGTCTTTCTTTCTTTTTCTCTTTAACATACTTTTTCATAAAGGAGTGGGGGGGGGGGGGGGGGCTCGAGCCTTGCCACTTTGCAGACCATGACATAAAGGCTTCTAAATAAGCGTATTTTCGCCTAACTGTAATTTGGGAATTTCTTATTTTCCAACAAACGCATAAAAAGGTATGACTTACAAAAAAATGGAGAAAAAATGCCGGAAAATCATGTCACAACATCAACATTTGTAAATCACTTGTTTCGAATAAGAAATACACCACCCCCCCCCCCCCCCTCCCCATCAGTACGCCAGCGTTCAGGGGCTCATGTCTTCTCGCCCCTATTACAAAAAAACGGACACGCTTTCCCATTCTCGCACAATATGTCCACGATATATGCGCGTATCGCTATTATAGAGACCTCCATTGATAAATACCGTGTAGGTGACATGCGCAATGTTTATGAAATTTAATTCCTGTGAACTTTCCTTTTTCTTTGAATGGAATTGTATATGTGATTTAATTCAGGTTTTTATTATTGTTACGTTCTTTTGGATTAAAAATACAAACCATGTTTACTCCTTTACTGTTTTGTTTTTTTTGGAGGGGGGGGGCGTTTTGGGGGGGCAAAAATGCGTTTTGCCCCCCCCACTTTTTTGACTGGGGGGGCAACTGCCCCCCCTGCCCCCCCCACTTCCGGCGCCTATGAGTCCAAGAGGATCGTAGAGTGACATCACTGTTGAAAGCACTCCTCTTCTGGTGCATGGCTTGTCAGCTAATGATTTGCAAAAGTTGAAGGAATCTGATTCTATGCTCCACTGCAGACCTAGGGCTCGTTCAATCGGCAGCTCATCAGGCAGTACGTTGAGTTCTTTCACTCTTGGCCCGTTCTTCCATAGACACTGCCTGTATTACCTTTCTTGAGTTGGAAACTATCTTGTGCAGGTGCAGTTTTCCTTCCTTGCAGAGCACTCTAGTCTGTGTGATCAGTCGACTGACTCTGCTGATGTGGGAACAGAGATCAGACCATCGTCAATGTTGAAGTCACTGTGTACGAAGTTACTGCAGCTTCACTGTACTTGTCTTTGTGGTCAGTTGCAGTTTTCTTTAGTCCATGATTCGAATACCCTGGTGATGAGGCAGCTCCAAACAAGTGTGCCTTCCTTCTATAGTGATGAACTGGTTGCTGGTAATCACCATCGGGCCACCACACATCACGTATGAAGGCTAACCTTTCCATCCAGAATCTGCACAAGACACCAGCCAGTGCATTTGTCATTTCCGGTCCTGTCATCGAATGTTCGTTCAACGATCCTCCTTTATACTGAACACTACAGTCAAAGACGACTCGCAGTTTGGTTGGTTGTTAAACGATGTGATGTGGAATGTTCATTTCATTTCATTTATTTAACCAGTATAAAAACAATTTACAATGGAAATACAATATACAATATACAATATAATGGTTAGGACCCCTAAGAAGCAGAAATCTGCTTGTAATCGGCTAAATCGGGGCCCTGCAAACAAAAAATAACAAGATAATGCACATAAATTAACAATACAAAGTAAAGGACTTAAATAATACAAGTACGCATCCGTACATCAACACACACGCACGTTCATAAAGGTTACAGAGAAAGAATAGAAGGAAGCGAACCCAATAAACAAAATCACGTGAAAATCACGTCAATATCAAGGTATCGACTTGAGGAGAGTTACGTTCTTCAAACACCGGACATTTACGTAAATGTGTTAATACGTTTTTTGCATTAGGTAACTTAAAACACACGTACACTAAATCACGCACTTGTCACTGCAATATCACCATTATAATAACGTGATTATCCCTACCTTGGAGACCATTACTTGTAAACCTAATACTCCCGTGTTTGTTAAGTTATGAAATTACATCTTCTGACACGAAATTATCGCGTTACAGAAACACGTGAAGCGTTAGTGATAGTTTTAGTCAAAATATCTGCGTGAAATGTACGTGAATATTACGAGGCTGACTTGAGATGAATCATGCATGTTCTTCATTCACGTGAAATTTACGTCGAAGAGGAAGTATGTTACTGTAACCCGCGTTCAACCCAGTTATAATTCAACTGGTCTAGCTGAGCCATTAGAACCATTTGGTAAAACTTCCAACCAGTTGAACAGCAACAATACTTCAATACTGGTACGTCTGTATTTCCAATGTAAGGGCATTGGTAATAAGTAGACTTACATAATTGAATTAATCGAAAAAAATTCGTATACTTGTACTTTATTGAAATTATTTTAGTTCACAGTTAATGTTTCCCTTATTCATGTTTAAGTATTTATAAGAAGTAGCGAAATGTCCTAATAACTGGTAATTTATATTTGTAGTATTTTCGAAATGAATTGCATATAACTAAATCATCAGTAATTAAGAAATATGCTGTAAATTCAGATAAATTGTTTAAAAAACATAGATATGCACGCACCCCATATTCAATATGCAAATGAATTGGTGTCAGCTGGGTCAACTCGAAATATGCCAACGCTCAGTCATCAACTGGTGCAACTGGAAATATGCACACTCCAGTTATCAACTGGTGCAATGAAAATATGCCAACAGTCAGTTATCAACCGGTGAACATAGAAATATGCCAACAGTCACGGGATTATCACCACGGAACTTAAATGGTAACTGTGAAACCATCAAGACACCCAAGAATAACTCATTTTCACACATGGAAAACACGGAATACCCAGCTTATATTAATAATCCGTTTGAGTCACGCGATCATCACCGCGGAACTGCTGGCAACTTTGACTACGATTTAAATAGGTGTTTTAAGACACCTAATCATGACTAATTTTTCACACCTAAAAGTCACGTATGCCCAGCTTAGATTAATAATCCGTTTGAGTCACGAAATCATCACCGCCGAACTTATGGCAACTTTGACTTCCCTTTAAATAGGTGTTTTAATACACCTAATAATGACTAATTTTTCACACCTAAATATCACGGATTCACAGCTTAGATTAGTAATCAGTTTTAACTACGTGATCATCACCAAGAAAGTTATGGTAACTTAGAAACCATTTAAATAGGTGTTTTAAGACACCTAATAATGACTAATTTTCACACCTAAAAGTCACGTATGACAAGCTTAGATCAATAATCCGTTTGAGTCACGAGATCATCACCGCGGAACTTATGGCAACTTTGACTACCATTTAAAAAGGTGTTTTAAAACACTTAATAATTACTAATTTTCACACCTACATATCACGTTTTCACAGCTTAGAGTAGTAATCAGCTTGAGCCACGTGATCATAACCAAGAAATTTATGGTAACTTTTAAACCTTTTAAAGAGGTGTGTAAGACACCTCAGAATTACTAGTTGAATATAACCAGAGATTCACGGACAGAACAATAAGACGATTAGCCGGTGTAAGTAACGTGATTATTACCATCAACCTTGGATAACCTGTGAAACCAATCAATAAAGGTGCTTACAAGACCAAATAATTACGTATTTATCGCCACCATCGGTTAACTGACAAAAAACTCGTTGCTTGGTCAAGTGGTTATTTGGTCATAAACACTTGATTTACAGAGGTAAGTGGAATCACGTTACTCCAGTCGCGTGATAAACTGGTGGTTTTTAGGTTAGATGAAAACGTGAACAGGAGTACCTTTTTTGTTTAAATGAAGACACGTGTCGATAACGTTTAAATCTAGTTCAAAAGGCACTATACTTTAAAATCACTTAAAATAACTCCCAAAAGAGGTTACTTTTTGGTGTTCTGTTTATTGGGTCAATATGACATTTCCAATCTAGAGTTTCTTCAATATTAGTACCTAAAAAAATAACACTTAGTTCTCATTCAATATTTACATTCGCTATTTTCACAGGATTGGTACGGAGCCCCGGAAGTGACATGGAGAAATTTTTTTTTTCTCGTTTTCCTGAGATAAATTCTCGTTTTCCTGAGATAATTTTTCGTTTTCCTGAGATAAATTCTTGTTTTCCTGAGATAAATTCTCGTTTTCCTGAGATAATTTTTCGTTTTCCTGAGATAAATTCTCGTTTTCCTGAGATAAATTCTCGTTTTCCTGAGATAATTTTTCGTTTTCCTGAGATAATTCCCGTTTTCCTGAGATAAATTCTCGTTTTCCTGAGATAAATTCTCGTTTTCCTGAGATAAATTCTCGTTTTCCTGAGATAAATTCTCGTTTTCCTGAGATAAATTCTCGTTTTCCTGAGATAATTTTTCGTTTTCCTGAGATAAATTCTCGTTTTCCTGAGATAAATTCTTGTTTTCCTGAGATAATATTTCGTTTTCTTGAGATAAATTCTTGTTTTCCTGAGATAATTTTTCGTTTTCCTGAGATAATTCCCGTTTTCCTGAGATAAATTCTCGTTTTCCTGAGATAAATTCTCGTTTTCCTGAGATAATTTTTCGTTTTCCTGAGATAATTCCCGTTTTCCTGAGATAAATTCTCGTTTTCCTGAGATAAATTCTCGTTTTCCTGAGATAATTTTTCGTTTTCCTGAGATAATTCCCGTTTTCCTGAGATAAATTCTCGTTTTCCTGAGATAATTTTTCGTTTTCCTGAGATAATTTTTCGTTTTCCTGAGATAAATTTTCGTTTCAAGTTCCTGAGATAAATTCTCGTTTTCCTGAGATAATATTTCGTTTTCCTGAGATAATTCCCGTTTTCCTGAGATAAATTCTCGTTTTCCTGAGATAATTTTTCGTTTTCCTGAGATAATTTTTCGTTTTCCTGAGATAAATTCTCGTTTTCCAGAGATAATATTTCGTTTTCCTGAGATAATTCCCGTTTTCCTGAGATAAATTCTCGTTTTCCTGAGATAATTTTTCGTTTTCCTGAGATAAATTCTCGTTTTCCTGAGATAAATTCTCGTTTTCCTGAGATAATATTTCGTTTTCCTGAGATAATTCCCGTTTTCCTGAGATAAATTCTCGTTTTCCTGAGATAAATTCTCGTTTTCCTGAGATAATTTTTCGTTTTCCTGAGATAAATTCTCGTTTTCCTGAGATAAATTCTCGTTTTCCTGAGATAATATTTCGTTTTCCTGAGATAATTCCCGTTTTCCTGAGATAAATTCTCGTTTTCCTGAGATAATTTTTCGTTTTCCTGAGATAATTTTTCGTTTTCCTGAGATAAATTCTCGTTTTCCTGAGATAATATTTCGTTTTCCTGAGATAATTCCCGTTTTCCTGAGATAAATTCTCGTTTTCCTGAGATAATTTTTCGTTTTCCTGAGATAAATTCTCGTTTTCCTGAGATAAATTCTCGTTTTCCTGAGATAATATTTCGTTTTCCTGAGATAATTCCTGTTTTCCTGAGATAAATTCTCGTTTTCCTGAGATAAATTCTCGTTTTCCTGAGATAATTTTTCGTTTTCCTGAGATAAATTTCCGTTTTCCTGAGATAATTTTTCGTTTTCCTGAGATAATTCCCGTTTTCCTGAGATAAATTCTCGTTTTCCTGAGATAATTTTTCGTTTTCCTGAGATAATTTTTCGTTTTCCTGAGATAAATTCTCGTTTTCCTGAGATAATTTTTCGTTTTCCTGAGATAAATTCTCGTTTTCCTGAGATAATTTTTCGTTTTCCTGAGATAAATTCTCGTTTTCCTGAGATAATTTTTCGTTTTCCTGAGATAATTCCCGTTTTCCTGAGATAAATTCTCGTTTTCCTGAGATAATTTCCGTTGTAAAATGAACAGTTAAAATTAATTGAAAAAATACAATTTTCTTCTAATTTCAGTGGCGGATCCAGGGGGGGGGGGCCGAAACGGCCGCGGCCCCCCCTATTGGCGGCGCAAAAAAAAGAAAGAAAAAAAAGAGGAAGAAAGAAGAGAAAA